CAGAGGCTGCCTTTCCACAATTTACACAAAGTCATCTTATATGTTAAAAGTAGGAGAGGAAGTCTAGGTGAAGCATGGAGGGGGGTAGAGGGAAAGAAGGAAGGAAGGAAGCGTGGTCAAAGAAATGCAAAACCTTAAATTCTATTCTCAAACCTCAACATTCAATTGCGCCTTCATTTCTTAGGCCTCAGGAAGCCTTGTTATGGGGGTGAGGGATGTGAAGGAGTAGAATAATCCAAGATGCCTAGTGCACGGGGCCCACAACCAGAGCTCCATGGTAACTTTCTTTAAAATGCAGTATATTTAAATTTCCATCAAACTGTCATTTATTATGCAAGGTGAAGTATTTAGGAAGAAATAGACTGATGTGTGCAGTTTACTTTGAAATGCATCAAGAAAATAAAGTAGAATAAGGGATCTATAGAAGGATGGACAAATGGACAGATAGGTGATAAAGCAAGTATAGTAAAATGTTCATGGAGTAAAATCAAAGTGCTGTGTATATGGCTGCACGCAGTAAAATTATTTCAGCTTTGTTGTATGTTTTAAACTTTTTATAGTAAAATCTTGGGAAAATATTGATTGAAAAAAGAGGAATGTAAGATCTAAGAAAAAATAATGACATACCAGAATGGGAAATGACTGTGAACTCTCATAGAAATGTCACCAATTAGCTGTAATAACAATTAGAGTGTGTTGGGTGCTTACTATTTGCCTAGTACTATGCTAGCGCTTGACAGATAATCCTATTAATTATAATTACGGCAATTAGAAATGATGTAGGTCTTACCAAAGAAGGTCTCTAAGATTAAATTTTAAAAAGCAGAACTGGGAACAGAACAAGTCTGGCTAAAGTTAAAGGAAAGGAAACAGAAAGCTCCAGCCATAAAACAAAAGACAGGCTTTCTGTCCACAAGCGCGGAAAGGGCTGCCCATCCAAACACATATGTCAGGCCTGGAAAATCAAGTCTAATATTGCCGTGCATGGGGTTTGGAAGGATGTGAAAGTTCCACCTCATTCTTCCCATCACTCAACTCTTCCTCTCCAGTGGAGCTGACCACAATGCCACTGGCATAATCATAATTCCACTGTAGGTGGCTCCACTGTTTCACAGACTTCAAAGTGTTCTTATATGTACTATGTCAGGCAGCGTAATGTCCTGGAAGGGCCAAAGACTTGGATGCTACAGAACCTCAGCTAAATGCAGAATTTTACCACTGACTATCTAGATGACTGTAGGCAAACAGCTGACTCTCCCTGGACCTCAGTTGCTAAACTTATAAAATGAAGGTGTTATCCGCATTCTACAGATGATAAAACTGAGGTCTGGAGAAGTAAAGTGACTTGCACAAGGCCACACAATTGATAAGAGGAAGAACGGGAACTGCGTCTTTTGACATGAGGCTTATGCTCTCAGAACTGACACAAGGCCAGAATCATACCCATATGCCCCTACTGTAAAGAAAACTCAGCTCTGAATCTCCATTAATTATCATCTCAAAAGAAGAAAGACAAAACACATGTAATAGTGACAATTTAAATATCTCTCAAGACAAATCATCTTTCAGCGCGTCCAAAAGAAAAGGAGGTTGATAATCAACCAAAGTAAAACTCTTTCCAAGTTATCCAAATTGACTTACTGTTTTCAGCTGTACATTTCCAAACATTTCTCACAAATATATACATAGTTTACAAATGCTAATAAATCACTGTTTTCCACATTATCACCCAGATCTAAGTACATTCTAGGGATTAGAAATTTGCCTCAATAATTAATAATAAAAATATTTAAAATACTCGAAGTATCTGTTAAATTAAAAAGTGGATCTTTTCAATAGTGAAATTTTCTTTCTTTTCTTTTTCTTTTCTTTTTTTTTTTTTTTTTTTTTGAGACAGAGTCTTGCTCTGTCACCCAGTCTGGAGTGCAGTGGCGTGATTTTGGCTCACTGCAACCTCTGCCTCCAGGGTTCAAGCGATTCTCCTGCCTCAGCCTCCTGAGTCACTGGGATTGCAGGCATGCACCACCACGCCCAGCTAATTTTTTGTATTTTTAGTAAAGACAGGGTTTCACTATGTTGGCCAAGCTGGTCTTGTACTCCTAATTTCAAGGGATCCACCCACTTTGGCCTCCCAAAGTGCTGGGATTACAGGCATGAGCCACCATGCCCGACCAAAACTTTCTTAAACATGTTTAAACCAAAATTGTAAAAAAAAAAAAAAAAAAAAAAAAAAAAAAAAAACAGAGAAGTTCATAGAACTTTGACTAAGCCCCTGTTGTCAGTAACTAGTCAAGTATCTTCTTGGAACAAATGACTGTAAATGAACAAATTGAAAAAGACATTAACAATCACAGACAACAGTGAAGTGCAGAGAAATATGTTTAAGCACCAAGAGCTGAAGAACAAAGCCTCCACTGGGGAAAAGGGCCTTTTATTTCAAGGGCACTTTCAGAAACCAGAAGACCAAAGCAAGAAAAAAATAACCTGTTGCGATTTTAATAAGACAGGCTATATATTAAAAAGTAGCTGCACCCACATACAATTATTCTATAATAGTTAAAGGCATGCTGGCATAGAGATATAAAAATTTGGGCACATCTGTTTTACTTTTTAAAGCCTGATATAAAAGTAAAATTATTTAAGTCTCAGATTTTACTTTCTAACATTTTGAGATTTAGCTGAAAATTACATTTAAATATCATCGAAAAGCAAGTTAACGAAGGACAATTTCCTACTCACAAACGCAAGATCTAAATCAAGCTACTCAATAAAGCATAGTTAGGTAGAAATTAAGGGTTCTGACCATACGTAGACATCAAATCTTAAGTAGAGTTTTACAAAAATGAGCCCATATGCATAGAAAAAAACATCTGCAGGAACACAACATTAAATTCTAATGTGGTTGTTTCTGAGGAGTGGGATTATAAGCGGAATATATATTGCTTTCATTATCAGGAAATATTCAAAAAGCATAGTGAGGTAGACTACTTAATGCCAGTTGGAAAAGAAAGAGACACACAAGTTAATTGTATAGGAGATCAGTGTTACCAAATGCAGAGCACTCTGCTATGTACAAGGAAAAACCAAGATGAATAAACAACATAAAAACCCATGCCCTCAAAAAAGCTTATGATCTAGACATAGAAGTGAAATACATGTTCCTACAACTAAGTACCAGACAGAATTAGAAAAGTGCTATTAATGCTGATAGTCCAACTACAGAATGCTGTAAAACAAATAGTAAGTACAGAATGGTATAAGGGTAAGGAAGAAGAGAAATTAATTCTAGCTAAATGGAATCAGAAAACATAAGGATAGAGAGATTTTAGAAGCTGGGGAAGGAAAAAAAAGGGCATCTCTTACTGAGCACTCTGTGTGTGACAGGTACTAAGAGTACTTCCATCTATTAATTCACTCAGTTCTCATATTCACCCTATAAGGGAGGTACTATAATTATCCCTGCTTTACAAACAAGGAAGGCGAAGCTTGCTCAAGCTCATACTAGGTCTAGTAAGCAGGAGAACCAGGATTTCACACTGGTGAGGGCTGCGTTCCTCATGACTTTGCTATGCTGTCCCTCTAGGAAAAGGGAAAACATTGGGACCCATAGGCTAAAGAAAAATGAGTTAAGAAAAATGGTGCACAAAATCAGAAAGAATAAAGAAACTTGCATTTATTGAAGGGTTTCCAAGTAGTTTCCGTATTTAATGCTTTTTATATACAATTTTGGTTATTTTTTCTGTGAAGTGCTGATTATGATGATCACATCTATTTTAATGATATGAACACTAAGTTTTAGAAAAGTTCAGTATCAGACCAAACAGCTAATAAGTAGCAGAACAGAATTGCAAACCCAAGTCTGAGCCCAATCTCAGGTCAAGTCAGACCTGTGGCTTTATATGTACTATCTCATTTAATCCCTAAAACAATCTGTAAATCTGGTACTCTTACCTTTTCTCATTTTACAGATAAGAAAATGAAAAATTAGACGGTAAATAACCTCCCCAAGGTCACAGAACTGGTAACCAGTAGACCCAAAATTTAACCCAGGCATCATGACTTCACACCCAGACTTCTGACCCTTTGGGTACACTGCCGGAAAAAGAGTAAAGAAGAACCCAATCACAAATGTCAAACTCGGAATCCATCAGTCATGCAAACTCATTGACAATTTTTGCTGTAAAAAACCCATGATCTAATAATGTGTTAGGAATAAAGTCCTCCAACAGACATACCAAAATTAGATTCTTAGCATGTAAAGCTTAATAAGACGTGGAACACCTTACCTGTACAGCTTTTCAAAGAAGGTAAACCATTGTTTTAATTACGTATAATCTACCTAAGAAGGTCATCTATGTAGTTTTTCAGCAAGCACTCACTTACCACAACCCCACTAAAATGTCAAGCCCCAACTAAACGTTGTAATACTTTGTCTAGCATAAAGTACATTGGATTTATCCATTATTATATCTTCCTACAGAATTCTATACATAGTGGTGTAGAAATTACAATGTGAGTAATTGATAATTGAACTTGCCTTCCCAAAGCAAAACAAGAAAGAAGGTGAGAGGGGAAAAAAGGGGCCAATAACTGAAATGAGTTTGCTTTTTACATTTCGTTTTGCCTCTTGGCTACAATCTACAGTATTTCACACCAAACATTATCCCAAGCTACCCAGCTCTGAGGCCTAGAGTTACCCACCTACAAAACAAGCTGCAAGCTCCCTGCCACAAGGAGAGTGACTCATCCTAACATCCGGCATCAATTCTTAATGAGTCCCCGAGCCCCCGCAGTCCTGTCTACTTTTCTTTTCCAGTGAATCCTCACAGCCCCCTTTCCCTGCACGTTCTCTGTCCCAAATTTCTGAAGCCCTTCCCCTTCCGTCTCTTAAGAATCTCTACGAACCTGAAACCCTGTGAGGCTGATGGCACGTCTGTGGTTCCTTTCTCCTCCTTCCCTCCATCCCCACAGCTCCCCGGGACCTGACCCTCCCCACTCACCAGGTGCAGCGCCAGGGGCAGTAGCAGCAGGAACAGCCACAGGTAGAGGTGGCAGCTGTTGGTGAACTTGCTCTGCTCCGGGTCGTGGTACCAGCCCCCGGTGAGCGCGGCCCACACGCCCTGCCGGAGCAGCTGCAGCACCTGGGACACCATGCCGGCTGCGTCCCGGGGCTGGTGCGCGCCCCGTTGCACCCTGCGCGCCCCGGCCGGCTCCCCGGGCTCCCTCAGGTCTAACACCCGGGCCCGCGGGCCGCGCCTCCGCCGTCGCCGCCGCCGTCGCCGCCGCCGCCTCCTTCCACCCCACGGCTGAAGCTGGAGCTGCTCTTCCGCCCGGACCCGCGAACCGCGGCGCCGGAGCCGGCTGCTGCCGCCGGGCAGGTGAGCGCCATGTCCGAGGGAGGAAGGATTTTCCCAGCGTGCTCAGAGGCGGCTGCTCAGAGGATGCTTCCGAGGCTCCTCCCAGCGCCCGCGCAGTCCCTCCTTAGCCTTCGCTGGGGGCCAGAAGGATTTCTGAGTCTCTCCAGCTTTTTCTTTCTCTCTTTCTTTCTCTCTCTCTTTTTCCTTCCTCCTTCCCTCCCTCCCTCTCTCTTTTTTCTCTCTCCTTCCTTCCGTCCTTCCTTCCTTTCTCTCTCTCTCTCTGTTTCTTTCTCCCTCTTTTTTTCCTTTTTTTTTTTTTTTTTTTTTGCCACTCCCCGCTTCCTTTCCCCTTCTCTCCCATCCTCCTATTAGGGGACATGCAAAGGTGTTCTCATGCAGAAGGCACAGACCAGGACACGTTCCTTGTCCTTGTCCTTGTCCTTTTTTACACCCAAATATTTACCTCATACAAGGTCCTGTCACTCAGCACTCAAAGCAATTTCTTCTCCTGAGCACTTCCTGCACGCCTTCGTTCTCCTTAATTAAGGGCTGACCCCAGACGTTCTATTAATCTAAGCTCTACCTAGTCCTCTGGCACTGACCTTCTGTCCTCCCTGACTTCCTCCTCCACTCCCTGTTGTCCAACTTGGTGGAGAAAGAAGATAACCACCTCCCTGATAAAATTTCAGGAGCTTCAGTTAGGCTCTTTAGTTTTTTATCTCTTTCCTAGAACATAATCCCAGGTATTTAACTGGCTATTTAGAACATTAATCTAAATCTCTCTATGCTGTTTAGATAGGAAGACCCACTGGACAAAAAATTAATAATCTTTAAGCTATTATCTATTTTATCATTTACAGTGGATACAGTTCAGATTCTCTTTTGAGAGTGGGTTTTGGAAAGGGAAAAGATAAAAGGGAGCTTGTCTTCCTTTGGGATGAGGAGCGGAAGCCCTGTGTGTGTGAGCTCGGGCCTTAGGGAGAGACAAAGATTAGAGGGCTCCATGATTCTCAACATGCCTTCCCTGCATCATCCTTACCTGGTCTGTCCCAACACATCACACTCCTCTGACTCGTGTGCCTGCCTGTGTCCTGGCCGTGTTCTGGTCTGCAGCAGCACTTGCTTGTGGGCGCCCTAGTCAGGCCCAGTAAAGGCACACCAGCCTTCCCAGGCTGAAACAAGGTAAGGACAGGCCCATCATGAGGAGAGGGCCCAGGACATGAAAGGCCACTGAGTTACAGCAAAAGCCTCACTATGGTGTGTCTGCCGTCAGCCATAACCACTCTTCCTTCTACTTTACATTCATCAGTAGGAATGAATCATCAAAATGGAATATGGCTTCTTTCTGTACTGGAAGAGTAATTTTCTTAAAGACACAGCTTGTAAACGGGCTTTTTTGTATATCTGCTCAAAATATTTATAACCTACCAGGTGTTGTATAAATGTTTAATGGATTAATCTACCAATAAACTCCACACTAAAGGAGCGCTGTCATGTGCATGGATACAGGAGGAAAGGTCATGCAACAGTCTGTTTCTACATGGAGGTTGTGCCCTTGTTCACTTGTCCTGATTCATCAAATATTTACTGAACACCTTCTGGGTGCCAAGCATTTTGCAGAAGACTAAGAAAGCAAATGTAGGGCCGGGCGCGGTGGCTCAAGCCTGTAATCCCAGCACTTTGGGAGGCCGAGACGGGCGGATCACGAGGTCAAGAGATCGAGACCATCCTGGCGAACACGGTGAAACCCCGTCTCTACTAAATAGTACAAAAAAACTAGCTGGGCGAGGTGGCGGGCGCCTGTAGTCCCAGCTACTCGGGAGGCTGAGGCAGGAGAATGGCGTAAACCCGGGAGGCGGAGCTTGCAGTGAGCTGAGATCCGGCCACTGCACTCCAGCCTGGGGGACAGAGCGAGACTCCGTCTCAAAAAAAAAAAAAAAAGAAAGCAAATGTAAGTCAAATATAGTCCCTACCATGAAGGAGTTAACAAACTACAAGAGGAGGCAGGAAAATAAAAGACTTCCAATAAAATGTGCTGCCTGTTATCATATTGTAGAAATGGACACATATCCAGATATATGGAAGCACTGGGGCACTGTGCAGTGCAGAAGACATGTACAAGTCTGTGAAGGAGGGGTGGTGTCAATGAGCACCAGGGAACCGGGTCTTACAGCTAAATACTAGCTCTCTCCACAGGGAGTGGAGAAGGAAAAGTCAGGGAGGATAGAAGATCAGTGCCAGAGGACCAGGTAGAGCTTAGATTAATAGAACGTCTGGGGTCAGCCCTTAAGGAGAATGAAGGCGTGCAGGAAGTGCTCAGGAGAAGAAATTAGTAAGTGTAAATAGTTCTCCAGGAACATGTATGTGTGGAAAGAGGAGCATGGCAATTTGGGGAAAATGTCAGGATAGTCTAATATATCTGGAAGGTAGGGCTGGGAATGGGAGAAATGGAACAGTAGGAAACTTAATGAGATAAGCAAAGGTCAGTCTCTTGAGTCATACAAAGTTCTTCATATCTTATCCTAGGCAATGGACAAGAACTGGAAGGCTAAAGCATGCATGTGTCATGATCAATAGTACAGGGGCAAATGCTGAACACCTGAACCAGCAGGAAGGTACAAAATGTTGAGGGATCATATATGATCTTAAGGCTTAGAGATCAATTCAATGTGGAGACAAAGGGATAAGGAATGTTATGATTTTCCGTTTTGGGTTCAGATGACTATACTGTAAAATTAATCCATTTATAAGATATAGGAAGGTTAGCAGCAAAAGATGACTGCACTGAATTTGAGTTGCTTAGGGACTTTGCAAGCCATCGGGGAGAGAATGTTTCTGAAGCTTAGGAGAGGTTTTTGAAATAGAGATTTATACTTGAGAGAGATCAGCAGATAATCCCATAAAAGGGGATGATAATGTCCCAGAAAAGAATGTAGCCAAGAGGGCTGTGAATTACAAGGATTAAACACACAGGCAGGACAAAAAGAGGGAGGAAAGGAGGAGAATAAGGTGAATCTGATATTATCTAATAAATGGGGAAAGAACAATTCAAGAAGGAAGTGATTAATAGTGTCAAGTGCCATAGAAGAGGCCAAGTACAAAGGTTGTTATTAGGACACAGCCATTAGGAGTGACCTAATGTGACATAGCCCCAGCCATTCTGAGGATTGAAGATGATAAAGTGGGCAGGTGCCTAATTGTGTTGTATTACAAAAGATTGAATACGTAGTGAATGCAAAAGTAGAGGGAGGCAAAATCAGCTACTCCTTAGGGGAGCCTGGCCATAGAGGTGAGTGTGATCTAAATGCAGGTGCAATGGTCAAGAAAGTGTTTGTTTTGACTGAATGGCTTTTAATATTAAAAACTAAGTATGCTGGCCAGTCATGGTGGCTCATGCCTGTAATCCCGGCACTTTGAGAGGCCAAGGTGGGTGGATCACCTGAGGTCAGGAGTTCGAGACCAGTCTGGCCAACATGATGAAACACCATCTCTACTAAAAATACAAAAATGAGCCGGGGCGTGGTGGTGAGTGCCTGTAGTCCCAGCTACTAGGGAGGCTGAGAATCACTTGAACCCGGGAGGTGGAGGTTGCAGTGAGCCAGGATCATGCCACTGCACTCCAGCCTGGGTGACAGCGAGACTCCATCTCAAAAAAAAAAAAAAGCAACAACAAACAAAACTAAGTATGCTTCTTCTTGACTACTCTGCTTTCCTGGCATCATTATAGCTTTCACTATAATGCATATGTTGGAGACTCTAAAATCTTTATATTCAGCCCTAACCTTTTCCTGAATTTCAGATTTAAATCCAGTTGGGTACCCTTCTACCCATAGGCCCTCAACATATTCAAATGTGAACTCACTGGCTTCTCCCTTACTGTGATTCCTCCCATTGTGCCTTTTGTATTTTGATCTCAGCTGATGAAACCACAATCCACCTGGTCACTTAGAACCAGGAGGAAACCTAAATTCCTCGTCTTCTCATCCTCCTCTCTCTCACTACCATATCCAGTCAGTGACCAGGTCTTATCAATTTTATTTCCAAATGATGATTAACTACATATGTTTGCCCTATCCCTGTTGTCACGAATTCAAGTCAAATCCTCAGAATTTCTCCCTTGAACTATCAAAGTGGCTTCCTAACTAAATTTTGTATCTCCAACTAAACCTTCTATATCAATGAAGGGAAGAAAGGAGCAACTCTCTAGCTTTCAAGGCATACGTAAGTTTACACAGGAAATAAGAAAGCTGAAAAAGCAAACAAGGGATCATACAAAGCAGAATATGCACCTACCACTCCTAGGACTGGAAGAACAGTGGGAACAAGTAGTATTGTTAGAAGCCACAAGCCAGAGGTTGGTGGCAAGAGATAGATCCATGGCAGGGCAGTCTAGAAAGAGCTGGAGCCTTGAGGACTTGCAGCGGCCACAGAAAGGGAATGGTTTTGAGTGGGGAATATGATACCAAAGCAGATAAAGACATGACGGGAAATGAAAACTTGGCCATGTATTATCCTGCCTTAACAAAAGCAAAAATTCTTAAAAACATATTAGCAATCTGAGTCCTGCAACATATAAAAAGGATTACATACTATGACCAAGTAGAATTCATCCCAGGAATTCAAGGTTGGCTTAACATCCAAAAATCAATCATATATGTGAGGGTAGCCCTAATCTGTGTGATGGAGGGCACCACAAATACCTGCTACATTCTTGTACACCCTTTCTCAGAGCTACTGGAAAATATGCTTCATTAAAAGGAATGAATATACTAAGAAAGATAAAGCATGGGACCAAGGGAACAAGCTTTTTTTTTTCTTTTTTCTTTTTTACAGAGTCTTGCTCCATCGCCCAAGCCAGAATGCAGAATGCAGAATGCAGTGGTGTGATCTCAGCTCACTGCAACCTCTGTCTCCTGGGTTCAAGTGATTCTCATGCCTCAGCCTTCTGAGTAGCTGGGATTATAGGCATGCACCACCACCCCTGGCTAATTTTTATATATATTTTTTTTCTGGTAGAGATGAGGTTTCACCATGTTGACCAGTCTGGTCTCAAACTCCTGACCTCAGGTGATGCCC